ATAAATTAAAAGAATCAAAACATATTTGACTCTAAAGGTTATCGCTAACGGCGACCAGTGAAGATATAAAAAGCTTATTTAAACATCTTTGAATTAAATAAGATTCTGTGGCGTATTTATCGTTCAAGAACCCTTGAGAAAATCAGTCGCTTACATAATGCATTTACACGAGTTTCCGTTGCGGGAGTCCAAGGTCTTCTCTTTACTGAAACCTCCATTATTCCAGCTAATCTTGCGTATCTTCGCTGGAATGCATTCCTGATCCACAAATACTGAACAGAGTTGAACTCTCCTTGCGTTTCATACGTAAGTGTGGTCTTTGCTCAAACCTTGCAGCTAAGACAATTTATCATTTCTTTATTGTGGCTATTTCGTTTACACTATAAAAGCTAAAAGTTAGAACGCGGTTTGTACTAAAATCATATGGTTTGATTTCAACCTTTATTGAAGAACAGCGTACGTTATGTTTTTATTAATTTGCATCACTTCTCTCCTCGATAACAGGTGGATTTTGGACATGAATTCGCGCACAAAGATTATCAAGAAGCGGCAAAAAAAGCGACCGATTTGTTTCGCCTAGCAAGAGATAACAAAAGTTGTTGTTTCGTGATTACAAAGATCAGTGCTGTTTAACAAAATAAACTGCAAAGGAATGTGAAGTGTAAGTTGTTTTGGTTCGGTTCAGACTTGAAGGTCGGCCGAGCTGAAAAACTCATTCAGCAATATCTATTTATGTTTTCTTGCTGATAATTTTGGGTTACAAGGTTCCCGTTAGATCTTTAACGTTAGATTCCATTGAATCTTTTTCTTCTCTATGGCTTGTAATACTCTTAAGGGACTCCCTGCTGGTTTTGCACAACCCAAGAAAACTAAAAGCGAGACTGCATGAACAAAGCCGGATGTCTCAGTATAATTTACTAAATTTGACTTTCCGCAAAACGCTCACTAATAAAAAATTCACTATATCGGAGACAATTCAAAGTGAAGAATAAGATAGAAATACCGGAGATTTTTGACTTTTAAACAAATTAGAGTGGGAACGGGATGCCATTCATATTCGAGCCTGAGGTTCTCTGCATGCATGTAGTTGAATGATTCAGCTTAATAAGTTTTCTGGCTCAATAGAAGTGTGAAATTAATGACCAGGGTAATGAAATGAAATCGCGGCATATTTACAGCAGCTTAATGTTTACAAAATGAAATCTGTAAGGCAGATCGATTTAAGTACTGATTCGGGCAAGTTTTCAAGTGAATAAGCTGAGGCTAAAAGAGCTACTTGAAAGATTTCCCTTGGAGGAAAACCGACGCCACAAAATTCAAAGCTATAAAGCCAATCCTTGAAATGAAACCATAAGTAATGATTATTAACTCAGCAAGAACTATCTCGCAGCAGAAAATAAGGACTACTTGATTAAAAATAGGTTTACTGGCAAATCACTGCACTTGGGATTTTCTCACAAAAGGTTGGAGAATAAAGGCGATTAAAACTACAGGAATGTGCAGACATTCAAATTAAAAAAGACAAATGCCTTTCAATGAAATATGAATTTGGATTGTTAAAGTGCAGCGCAAGTGAACCTGAAGCAATAAAAGTAAAACAAAAAAGGACGAAGATGGTAAATTGCAAATGACAAACCAGATAAATCCAGCCTTCATTTTTAGCGGCAAGATCGGCTGACAAATGAAGGTGATTCACCTCTCAAGACTGAGTCGATTACAACTACACCGTTATATTTGGTTATATCAACTAAGTTGAAATTGTAAATTGGCCACGTACCGTAACGAATAAAAAAGCTTACACCATTATATTACAACTCATAGAATAAATTGTGACGAACTGTAAACCGATCAGTATACTGGTCTATTAAAAAGTTCAAATCTGCATGATTATGAGCAATGTGAAAAATAAACCCATGCAAGGAAAAAACATCATTTTCTAAGGCATTCATTTGTGCGATTAAACAAGCATGGTCCACTTCTTAAGAGAGAAGGGGCGCAAAGGGAAGTCGGAAAGTCAGCTGGGGAAATGAACGGATTCGGGAGTCAGGCTGATTTGGTTAAGATGGTTAGGGTTAAAGTGTGGACGCTTAATTTTATGGTCCAGTGAATACTTCCTGTTGTCTTCTCGATAGTCTCTTACGTCCAGCTGAGTAGCAAGTGCCAAGGAGTGATTCGGCCAGAGTAAGCCAAAAAATTGATAAATTGAATTTTTTTCCTTCAAAACCGCTTTGGCTGAAAACCGGCCTTAGCGGAAAAATGATGATATCCTAGCGATTTTCACCCCTTTATGTGACCTAACTGATCAATATGAAAATTCTTCAAACTGTTCTCCGTAGATTTCCTCGGGTGCTGACAAGGAGAATTTGCTGAACGATCAGGAGCTTGTTCAGTTAGTGAGTCAGTGTTTCCTTTATTCTCGTGACTTACTGTGTGATTCATATATATGCATTGTAAGGAGAAATTAGAGAAAGTTTCTTTTGCTGTCTGCATCACGGAGTTGTACCCACTACCAGGTTTAACCATCACCAACAGACTTCAGTTATGATAAGTCAGTCATAAGAGTAGTATTTCTAAGAAGTAACAGTGTTGGTTCACACCCAGGGATTCCCATTGATGGCCTGGACTGACCGCAGCACTGACAGCACTGTTAATCTTCGACCATGACGATTTACTTTTTACTTTTCATTTTTCTCTCTCCGAGCAGCCACCCTCCCTTTTTCATTCCCTTCTATTCCTCTCCATTCCATTCCTCACCTTACCGCTGACCACATAGTCATAAAAACGTGGTATAAAAGTGCTTTTCTTAAAGAAAAATAAATTGCTTTCATTCAGTACTAATTAAATAGATCACTTCCCTCGGCGTTCTTTGTTCTGAAACTATGTAATAAATCCTTGTTTTCTTTAGTGGCATTCGACTCTCAGATAAAACCCTTTAAGACGTAAGGAAAGCCGAATATTAGGGAATTGTGGCCAGAAAAATGAGCCAGATGAAAACCCGATCACATCTATAGTCCTTCCCGTTGCCAGCATGTTTAATCTTACAGACGCAAGACTGGATGGAGTTTGCTGAGGAGGATTTTGTACCGCAAGGTATCGATAATCGTAATTTAATTCAGTTTAATCAGTTCATGTTTTTCTGTCGTCTTAAATTTTCTGGCCGCTGCTTATCATCTTAGTTTGAGTCAGCATTTAAGTAGGTTTTAAGTAGGTTACCATGACTCCTCCGTATAGATCATGACTGCCATTTGCAAAAACCGTATCGGACTGCAGATGAGACAGCAGCACCTTTGCTTTGAGTAAAAACAAAACAAAGTGCTTTTTTTACTGGGTTTGAACATAAGTGCAGGTAAAGAATGATGATGAAGTTATCTGGCTTCCAAGCATGTCTCCGACTTTTCTGTTATCAATGCATTGTCAACTTGTTAGGGTAGAGCAAAAAACCAGGTCAGGGTCAAGTCCTAGTTTTTGGCTCTAAATCCACCGAGAGACAAAAGGCCCCATACTACAAATCCAATTTTTTCTTCTTTCGGAAGTAGTAATATAAAAAAGGATTCAATCAGTAATTTCTGAGCCAGAGCCTTGAGCTATCTTCGCGAAGACGGACCATCAAGTGTTTTAGATATCTACCTCAACGTCCCGAGAAAGATAGGCATTCCATTAGATCGCACTGAGCGCTTGGAAAACCAAAATACCGAATTTGGCCGAACATGAATTTGCTACAGTGCATGTTTTTTATCAGCGATTGATACTGTTATAAATAAATCCTTTGCTAAGAACAGATTTCCTGATCAAAATGTGACGGAGTGACCTTCCATTGCACGAGAAGTAACTAGTTGCTGACAGCGTGGCTGTCCTACTTCCAAAGCGGGACCACTACTCGATTTTCCGTGTCTAGACAGACTGGGAGAAGGTTTACCAAGCTGGAAGGCTTAGCTCTCTCTAGGTATCGAAATTCCAGTCTCTCGTATGGCTAACTATAACACTTTAACTCAAGAACCCGCCAAAGTACCACACTGAGGGCTTTGAAAATGGAGGACGGTTGAAGGAAAGAAAGAGTGTTCTTTCAATCTAATTCTTATGTTATCTTAGTAAACTGGCGGCAATTAAACGCTGTTCGCAACCTCCAAGGAAGGGTCACTGAAGGATACTGCGTATGTGACGTTCATAATGGAAGTCACTACTCCTGATGCGGAGTTACTCCACTAATATTATTTAAGACGACTTTGTAATTATAAGTATCTAATGGATGTTTACTGAGGCGACGAATGAACCAAAGCAAATATGCTCATTTCTAATTTAAAAAAAAAGGAAAAGCTCGTTGGATCTCGGCGTCGTAGAGTTTAGATAAAGCGTTAAATTGACCTTACTCGACTATTAGATTCCTTCTTACGACCAGATCCGCGACACCATTACTACGAAGTCAACCAATTTTTAACGAAAAGATTACCCCTGCAAGCATGGATGAATTGGTGGTTAATTCATGACAACCCTTATCCTGGACGGAAAAACAAAACTGACCCATGTGTTAAAGCTGCCAAGTGTACTTTCGTTGAAGAGGTGGAACAGCGAGTCAAATGACCCGGCAAAGAAAACCGAAGCAAATTCCTCTCATACTGCATTTTTCACAAACGATTGAAATTGTTCTATTAACCACTTCACACTACTCGAGTAAACTTATCCCAACAACACAACTCCATTCCAACAGAAGGTAAGCGAGTCAGGTATGGTAGATTAACATCTGCTTGTCAGGAAACGAGCCCCGGATCCGAGAAAAAGAGGAAAACGAGCCTGTCAGCTTAATCATCCCCCCTCCCCCCAGTCACGACTGCCTCTAATTAACATCCCTTGTCCATTCGTTTTGAGGAAAATAAACGACCCGTCGACTACTCCACTTTAAAGAAAACAAATGTTATTTGCCTAAAGGTTTAAGGAAATAGTAGTCCATTAGTTCTGCCAGGAATTGAAGAGACATTTACACGAGTAAAAAACAAAAATGAAACTTTGATGGAGAAAAACCTGTTTTACTAAACTTTCACCTTTGAATTCAAGTGACAATCAACTGATCACGCCATATTTATTTCGGCTTGTGACGTTAACTTAACATAAGAAATCTATAACAATATTTAAAGTTAAATCTTATGACAATACTCGTCTTATACAAAACGCACACAAAATTGTGCTAACATTAATTTCGGACATTCCCGTGCAAGCGTTAACTTCCAAGTTAACCTGCTTCAAGATATGTAAAAGAACAGCTGACTTGCTCAAGAGCCATACACAATCACACAGTGCCTCATATGATGTATAGTCTTGACAAGCCTAACAATTGCCTTCAGTTTTTCCACCAAGAAAAGTCAACTGCACCTTTACAATACCTTGCGGAATGTTCTCTCTCATTGTATAAAAACCAGATTCACAAAATCCCCAAGAGTCTAGATGCTATAAACACATCTCAACTGCCGAGAGCTTTCAACCTGGTCAAGACTCACTTGGATGGATACTAAAGCAGTCAAGACTGCCATTTTGAAGTGCTTGCTTTCAACTGCCAAAAAAACAGGAAAGCATGCAAAACAAAATGCCAACTGACCACCTTGTTTTGGTTTTCTCGCAAATTTTTTGCTGACACAGATACATACATTTCTGTTCCAACTGCAATAACCTGTATGACAAAAACTTGTGGGCTAACAAACAGACAGTAAGTAATTAATGAAGATCTACAGTAACTTCGCGTTATAAACACCCTATAAAGAAATCAAAGGAGTAGCCAAGCTAGTTTAGAGATCACCCTTCAGCAGCACTACAATGCTACCCAAAACTTAAAATTTAGGAAACTTGAAAATCAATCAACAGGGAAACGGATTCCACATCTACAAGTCCACTAAATCCTACTAGATGTGATTGCTGAACACGAGTGAATTCAACTAAAATGGCTATCCATATATTGAACATGGTGAAATGTTTCAGTAATTAAAACTATTTGAAACAAGGTTGATAAGAAAACAACAAGTGACTAATTCCCATGACAAAATATATTCCAGACTTTAATGTTGCCAACACCAGATTGTAATGATATTGCCAACTATCAGGCAAATTCAATTCAGCTCCCATATGGGAAATATTTTGAAGAGGGTAAAGAGTTGTTTGCAATCGTGAGACGGATTGGAGTTAGTCACTGAAGTTTACTTATACAACATCTGTACAAGCAGGAACATGTAGTAAATAATCAATATACAGTCTTCCAAGAGTCTACCTTAATTTGAAAAAGATATATAACACCTTTGCAGTGGATGTTGTCTAGTGAAATCCATATTAACAAAACACTGTTGAAAATAGATATAAGCCAATCAAACAAGGATATGACTTAAGCTTATACCTATTGCAAGCAGTGCAGTGAAAATACAGACCATCAGGGTTCTCTATTTTTTTTTTATTATTATTACCATGAAAGGAATAAACTTATTATAATAAAATTACTTATACGAATTCTATAACAATAATTAATATAATTTAATTGACATGGTCAAATGCAACCTATAAATTACAAAGCATCCCTGAGAGATACTGTTTGAAGTTCACTTGCAGCTGTTCCTTGGTGCCAGCAGTTCTTGATGAACGAAAGGCTTGCAGAAGTAGAGTGTCTCTTCTCTTGATGTACTCACACAATTCCTGGAAACAAATTTATTTTTAGCCTACTAGAAATACCATGTAAATCCTTTATTCACTGACCACTCAAGCTGACAATTAACTGCTCAAGTACCTTGACGTGCTCTGTGGAAAGCTCTCCATTTTGATGTAACTCACCAATTTGAACACACAATGCCTGCCAATCTGAAAACAAGATTTCAAACTAAGTAAAATATTCTGGACTCAAAATGTAACCATGATAGTTTGTGAGCTTGAAATAGTTTAATAGGTGAAATGAATAATTGCTATCCAGGTTCACAGGATAGATAGTTCACCTACCACATAGCAAAAAGACCACCAACACACATCCCAGGCATTATGTGTAAGCCTAAGATATGGTAGAATTCACACTAAGCTGTCTCTTACCTTGTTCCTCATTAACTGTCGGCAACAACACTGGTGCAGGCTCCATGATATCTTGAGGCAAGTTGTCCAGTACAACCTGATCACCCATTGGGTTGAACAGATCCACTGTTATCATGTTTTCTGTAGCAGTAATGGGAAGGCTTGGATGCATTTCTACTTCCTCAACTAGTACATTTACACTAGGTTTGGGTTTGTAAGTGAACTCAATAGGTTCACTTGATTTTACATCTCTACCATTTCCAAAGGTTACCACCACATTAACAGTGACGGGAGAAGTTATTTCAGTGTCACAATAGGCTGGAGTGAGAACCACTGCAGCACCCTTGAAAAATAAAAAGCAGACATGGAGGTTATAAATACAATCAAGTCATTAGTCTGATCTTTACACAATCTTTAATAAACATGAAAACATTTACTTGTAGATTTATTCATTTAATTCCTTATTTAAGTATAATTGAAATTGGAAAGAATTCTTTTTCATCACTAATTTAAACCCCTGGTTTTTTATCTGAAGACAAGAATCATGCTTGAATGATCTTTTTATTCAATTAAGCCAGGTACTGCCAATTAGCTAGCCTCAAGATTGTTAAGAAGCTCACCTGATGTGACTTACTCTTGTCAACTTCTGCAAAACTCTCCCAATTTTCTGAAACAATAAAATAGTTTAACATTCAAATTGAGCTCCAAAAGATGTGATTTTCTCTGAAACTTGAAATGGTGCTGATAAATTCCTTCTTCCCTTGAACCCCCCCCCACCACCACATCCACCACAGCACCCACCCAAGCAAAGAGGATACTGTGTCAGCCATCATCAAGCAGCCAAGTGAAAGTATGGGGGCTGAAATTCAGTGCTGCAGGCTTGGCTGCTTCATGAACACGCTAACAAAGAAGCCAATACAAGGATGGCAGATAACTTGTACCATACACCTATTTGGCCTTAAAGTATGAAGACAATTTATGACAAAAAAATAAATAAAGGCATGACTTGAAATGATAAATTGATAAAAAAGTAATTTTTTGACCAATATTTTTTAATTGGATCCTGTTTTGTTTGTTTGTATAACACAATAGAAACTTTTCATTAGAGATGAAAAATGATCACAAAAAAAATAAAATGGAAAACTACATTGGCCCTGAACGTGGTTTCAATTTTATCATGATTCTTACATTCATTCCATAAGACAACTTTAATCTTACATACAGCACAAAAGGACAACACACACCACCACAATAATTCATAAGCTCCAAGGCATATGTTTAAAGGATTTATCAAGTTTCCAGGTTCATCTTCTGTCTTTTTCTAAGGTGACCAAACAGTGGGTGCACTTCTACTGAGGAATATATGCCTTGGAGTTTTAGACTGCCATTCCTTGCAAGGCCAGGAATATAGGGTGTAAATATGGGGGAATATACACAGAATAATGAGGTCCCCCACCCCAAGCCCTTCGTGCACCAACAGCAACCACCAGAGGATCAACAACCAACATCACTGACTATGTCTAGAATAACACCATAGTGTAAATTAAGCAAGACTTGCTTGCAGGTTATACTGGGTTAACACTGTGCATTCAAGTAGTGCAAATATTAAGGGCTTCATGTTGGTTATTCATCCTCTACACCGGTGCCAAGAAAGAAATCTCATCATGTTTAGCATTGGGAAATATTTGCCAATTGAATTTTAAGACACCAAATGTACATTTCTGAAATAGAATTTCCAGTCCCAAGTCAAAACACGAAGAGAAACAATTGAGAAGTCTGAACCAGTATAGTCTGTACACAGAGACTGCCAAACTGTTGATGTCTTACATCACAAACAACTTGGTTCAAACTTCTGATAAAATGAAAATAAACAAGGAAAATGCTCTGGTCTTTGGTTGAGTGCAAACCTAATTTTTCCAAACTTTTATTACAAGAAAGCACAACAAAGATGAACCAATTCACCACATTTCAGGGAGGGAATAGTTTGACTGGGTAAACTGAACTATAGCTGAGTAATCTGCCAAATAAAATCAATACTCCAAGGGCAATTTAGAATAAATTTAGTAAAAATAATAATTTTTTAACTACATTTGCAGAAGCCAAAGTGTTGATGCTGCCAAGCACAGCTTCAAAGTTGTAAAATCAATATTGATGGAAACACTATCTTCAAGAAACCTCCTTGTAAACACTGGAACACATCTCAACAAAGACAGAGCAATTTCCAAACAAGAAAATAAACCGAATACAAAGTAAAAAGACAAAATACTTGTCTCACTGTGCAACTGTGGAGATAAAATTCATGCGCAAATGTCTTCCACTGTAATGAAGTGTTAGGTTGTCGACTGGACCCGCAATAGTTGCTCACACATTGCTTTAAACAGACACTGTTTACCATGACTTCTCATACAAGTAACACTTTTGATTATTCTTTAAAGACATGTTTTAGACTTTAAATAATAACTTTTGCCAAAGAAATAACATGGTTTGTTTTAGAGCAGCATAACAATCGAGACTGTTGTAGCTCCACTATCCTCTTGATCTTTGAGTGCCGTCCAGAAGATAACCGGTTATTTGTCCATGTTGTCAACAATTTTTTATCAAATTGTAATTATAAATATATTTGAACCAGTTGTACTGTATAAACAGATGTTATTTACAAATGAAAATTTAACCAGCAAACCTTTGAAAAGATGAACAGGTACTCTACGTTGCTTTTGAAAGAAAATTGGTTCAACTGAACATCTGATTTCCTAAGCTTCCATGAACTACTTCAAAAGAATGCTTAATTTTAATAACCAGGTGTAAAATGCACCATCTTAATTCCTATAATTGTAAAAGTGTTGTATCCTCTTTAAAAATCTCAGCAATGAGCAGGAGGTAGGCAACATACTGTCAATTCAATAACTTTGCTACTGAGCCTTCTGCAGTTCAGTGGTAGAACATCCAAACTACTGATGATGATTATTACCCAAGTCAATAACTGAGGAAGATCATTATTTAAAATACTCTCCAATTATTTGTTTTTTTAATAGAGGACATGAAAGAACAACAATCACCAAAGTCATACTGAAGAGAAGCCTGGTAAACACTGTTTGACAAAACTGAAAAGTTGTTCCTGATTTTATTCACACCCTTTGCTCCACAAGGAGCCTGGAAAAAATACACGTTCCTAATGCGATCACAGAAACTGAGAAAAAAAGTAATTTTATCACCAGTGACATTAGAAAGATCAAAACCTAGACTTTGTGCATGCCATGAGGATCATAAGAATGCAACTTGCTACACAAAATGGAACAATGCAATTTGCATCAAATTTATCTCTTTCTGCACATATGAAGCACCATGAAATTGAAATTCAGTTCTAGATAAGATAGAGAAGAAAACGAGAGGAGAATAGAAGTTCTTGAGTAGGAGAAAAGGTTTCTGGTCTACAGAAATGCAGGCCGAATAATCAAAACTACTTTTACTTCAAAACGATTTTAGAGATAGATGACACCGAGCACCTGAATAACACAGCTTCCACTGGTAAAAAAGCAATTATGTGAGCAATGTCCATTGCGGTCAATACAGTGTCAACTCTGGAAGCGCAATAACTGCAATCAGCGTTAAAACCTAACAACCCTCCCCACCACAACACTATGACAACCCCATGACAGAACTTTTCAAAGCCAACTTGATATTAGCTCCTTCCAGCTAATTTTCCATGTGACAAATCAGAAATTTTAGAATGACTTCAATTAAATTTCAAAACATTCACACATTTTGATAACATTTCTCTAGCATCAAAGAAAATGGAACCCAAGCATTGCTCTGCAAGGCTTTGAGGTACATTTTATTACAGGATTGGCTTTGCAAAGTTCTTGACATCACACCCAAAAGTAACTGACATGCCTCCGTGTCTGATCTCAATTGAAAATCCCCTTAAAATTCAAGCACAGCTAACATGTTCCACACTGAGAACAGTTAAGTTGGCGATACTTGGAATGCATCTGATGAAAACAAGAACAGCATTTACCTTGGTGTGCTTTCTCCCTTAAAATCCAGACTAGAACAAGCCAAAAAGAATTTGGCCTTTTGATCAAATGGAATTTCTTATCTTGAAACTAGTTTCAAAAGCTGATGTTATTTTAATTCACAAACATATTCAAATATGTCACAAAGTGATAATTATCACTCACAGAGCTCAAATCATTTCTCACCACAATTTTCCATAAATGTGATGTTCATTTTGAATGGCCTGATAACCACTACTTTGATTCAGAAACAATGGTTGGTTTCTAATGATAAAACAATTTGTAGGCCTTAAAAAATGTTTTACTTTAAAGGAAACAGTGATATTTCTCATAGCAACCTACCAATTCTGGGCACCAAGTTCTACTAAACTCCATGAATGTAATTAAAAGAAACACCTCAGTTAATTTGATAGTAATATTTCTCTGAAATGTTTGCCATTTCAAAGTTGTTCTTTAATAGTTTCTTTGAATCTTTTGAAACAGGGGTAAGCAAACACCAGAATTCAAAAGTTACTGGGAGAACCACCCAAGTGTTCTTTCATTTTTCCATAAGTGATACACCTTATTAAAGCAACATTGTCATAGTAAAAAGCAAAAAGGAAAAAGATAAATGGGAATAAATTAGCATATAGCGTAAGCATATATGTGTATCATCACTTGAACTCTCTAAACAACATCAATACTCACAAGAAGTTAAAAAGAATTTCTCAGTGCAAATTCTGTGAAGTTTGTTTGGCTTTCAAGCATCAGGCAAGAGGACAGTTTACTTAATACTAATAACTTCCTTTGTGGCTTTTTCCTTTTTTGTTTTCACACTTGTCTTTTCTATGACAACATTGGAGAAATTTGGTGTTCACATCATATACATAGTCATGAGCTTCACAAAATCAAATTTGTTTTACTTTTAATTTGCTGGGCTTGAAAAGGCAATTTGAAATGATAGCAGAGAGACTGCGCATGATCTAACTGTGAAATGTGACACAAGTGAAATGCTTTGGCAGCAGAAAAACGTAACTCTGTCAAATGACTAATTTTCTTTTCTTTTCAAATTCGATTTTTGAATTACATGTTCCAATGATCAATTTTCAACAATTTTTTTTGACATTGATGGTATGCATCAAGCTCACTCTGAGGTGGAGTGTTTTTTTTTGGACATTGATGGTATGCATCAAGCTCACTCTGAGGTGGAGTGTTACTGTCAGTACAACAGATGAAGAGCTCTAATCCACACAGCAGTCTTTGAAGTTAGCTCCCAAACTTATTCTCTGCAGCATTTCTATCATTTCATTATTATTTCTTTTCTTTAGCAGCCAATCAACTGAAGAAAATCAGGTTTCTTCCAGCTTGTCTCTCGCATCTATATTCCTGACCAAAGGCACTGCACCTCTACAGTTGAGCTTGGCATTACATCAATTTGTTTACAAAGGGAGAGCAATGTAAAGTGGTACCTGTTCACCAAGTGACACTTGAAAACATTTGTGTTCATGGCCAAAATATGAGCACACCTCTATAGTATTTTATAATATCCAACCCATACTCTAGTCACCAAACCTCCCCAACCTGAACCCCTCCCAAAATCAAATCACAAGTGAATTGAATTCTCCCAAGGAAGAATTTCACTGAGATCAGCCACTTGTAAAGAAATTTGCTCAGACATTTTGCTATTTTTTTTTTTCATTCTGAAAGAAATTCAGTGCTTGGGTTATAGACAAATCTTAAATACAGAAGTTGTTTAATTGCTAAAAAACAAGAAAATTATCTGTTCCAAATTCAAATTCACAAATTAAGGCAGCGAGGCATGTCAGTTGAAAACAAAACACCTATTTAAAGCTGGGACATCAAGCTACAATGCCAATTGATCTTTCTCATAACCAGGTGTTTCTGCTCATATTGACCCCAATTTCTGTGTTTAGCAAACTTTTTGAGGAAACAAGCCTATTAATGAACTAAGCGACAGTTAATACTCTAAAGTGTTTCCAATTCAATGTACATAGTGCTGCATTGTAATTTGATGCCCAGTAATCACAAGAACAAAAGCAAAGAGTTTGTCATTCTTAGAATTTGCTTCAAGTTAGTCAGTACATTGCTCATGTTCAAGGCGAAGTACCACTGACAACAAGCAAACAATGCATGAACTAGACACCTTGATTTCATTCTTGTGATCAAGTTTTCATCTGCACTTCTGACCAAAAAAGAGAAACTTAGCTTACCAGAGGAATTCACTGAGTAGAATCGCACTTTGAAACCTGGAAATGGAGAAAGTAAAAGAAACCTTTATTACAAGGGGTTTTTATTGAGAAATCTTGTAGTGGGTGAATCATGCAAACAAACAACAGATTACATGGCAGACAACCAAAATTTACCCTGGGAATTCTAAATTATTGCTGGAGAAATCACTCTCAATTATGCCTTATGAGCACCCCAGTAGATGTTTACTTAAGAATTCTACACTCATCTTTTATAGAATGGCCATCTTACCCGATTGAAACTTTTTTCCAATCAGACCCAGTTCATCGCCACCCTCAACGGAACCCTCACTTGTACTGGCCCACCAAATTTCTGGATTACCAGGAGGACCAGCTGAAATAAAAACACACTTCATCAGGTTGATTGTCACTGTTAGAGGTCATCAACAAAATCTCAGAACTTAACTAAAAGTCTTTTGCTAAAATCAAAATCATTTACATTTAACTATTGTAGCAAATTACTCACAAGAACTGCACTGGAACACCTTCGATTTACAAGTCAGTTTCACAGCTGGACGGCCATTGTGTTCTGGCAGCTCTGCCTGAAACAACAATCGTGCTTCCTTGCGTTCCTTTTTCCAGGTTCTTGGATCAATTCCTCTTTTCCTTAACTCTCTATCACCTTCCCAGTTTCGCAGTCTGCGAATGCTCAATGAATCAAGCCTGAAACATAACCAAACATGAAGTATTTAGTGAGGGGTATTTGAAACTGTAACAACGCTAACCAGGACAAAAGCCTTTCCACCATTCACAAACCTATACTAGTGAAGTACTTACACTGCAGTCATGTTTGTATCTGGAGCAACCATAACTTGAACAGCAGGTATTCCACCAGGTAGAGTAGTCTCTTTACATGGTACCTTAGTAGAGCCTGGTCCATGAATGGAATGGTAATGTGGCATTCCACTACTGGTGGTAAGATGTACTGTGATCCACACAGCTTGATCATACCCTGTAATCTAAAATGAAAACCAAAGTTTCAAATATTGTGCAACCTTTCTAACCCAACTATGAACACAAAACAATCTTTAAGTAGATATGCAACTGACTTACCTTTACAGCAGGGAAAGTATTGTCCTGGGAGCCATGAATAGGACCTCTGCATCCTTCACTTTCATATCTGGCTCTGTAATTCTACACAAATGGATGAGAAAAATTGTTAGTACACCAACTTTGAAAAAATGAAAAACAATGAAAAGTAGGACTTTGTAATGCTAAGACATTTGCTTGAAACAGAACATTCTGATCAGAATGAAAAGAAATCAAAACAAAGTTTCTTTTGGATTCTAATAATATTAATTAATAAGGAAAAATACCTCTTCTGGTTCCTCTATAATAACAATCTTGGGCTCATCAGAGTTCTTTTGATTCTGGGTTGGCTTGTTTCTTATTCTAGACTGAGAGACAGCTGCAGGTGGGGTGCTAATTGTAGACAGAGTAGAGGTGCTTGTGGACCGATTGGAAAGTGGCAGTTGAAGAGATCCAGATGCCACTGAGGTTTGGTTAGCCTTAACTATGAGAGGGCAACTGTAAGAGGTTGGTGAAGCTGTAGTCTGAATGCTTCCTTCACTGGTAAGTTTAGCTTGAGTTAGGCATGGCTGAGATGAAGATTGATTCATTGAAGTCAATGCCAAAGAAACACTGGTTTCCACAAGAAGTTTGTTGAGCTCTTCCAAGACAGAGCTATCATTTTCTTTCTTCAATCGCCTTTTTAAAGCACGTCTCTTCAGAACAGGTTGACTCGCACCGTTCAGAGAGGATGGATTTTCCATCTTGACAAGCAACGATCCATTTGCTGTAAGGAAAGATGTTGACTCTTCCATGTCACTCACATCTTCAATACCCGACTCAGAAGATGATGACGAAGAATTTGGTGATGGCGAGGAAACTGGTGAAGGGGAAGGTGGGCATGACAAATCAGAATCAATTGGTGACTGCAGAGGCTCATAGATTGGAGGACAATCTGGGATGCCTGGAGCTGCCAAGAAGTTGTGAATATCAACTGGGAAATCTGCAACTCCATCCATTGGAACAAAATCTGCCAAACAGAGAAAAGCAAAATGCAATGAAAAAAGTTTTATTTGGACCAGTGAAAGAGTTGTATAACTGGTATATGGATTCTGATTAACAAGTAGGTATTAATGACAAAAAACTTAAAACAGCTCTACCTTCATCATTTCTCTCAAGTGACCACAAGCAAATACTACTCTTTCACACATGCACTAACGTCCCATATATATCAAACACTTTCATAGATAACCAATAGGTGCAAATCTATTTATACTTTTCTTTCTTAAACAAAAAAAGATTTCTCCAGTTGATAACATTTGTTACAATTTATACACAGCTTAATACTTCAACATCAATACAGTTTTTGGATGAAGGAAACAATGGCACAAACTATAGACTGCCTTTATCAAACCTCTGTTTAACCTAACACATGAAAAAAAAATTGGCCAAAGAACTGTTTCTATTTATTGCCAGGCTGATGATTTCCATGCTTACAAGAAGTGTCAAAAATGCTCAACAATTTATGAATATCATGTTCTTTGCATGTAAAACCCCACTGGTGCATTACATAACCCTAATTACAGATTTAATTTAATTAAGCAAGGTCCCAGGAGTTACATAGGATCACCCACTGTTCCTTAAAATTTTAGCCTAGGGGAAAAATAGCATTATTGTCTCTGTATGCCCTGGTGTTACGTAAGATCACTTAGGGTTCATTTCCACTTTAGCCTAGGGGTGAAAAAGGCTCTGGACACAGCTTTTATATGCCCGGGAGTTACTTAAGATCACCTGCAGTTCATTTTAATTTTAGCCTCGAGGGAAAAAAAGCCTTACGGCTTTCATATGCAAATAGGGCTTGAAGAGCAGAGGGCAAAGGTAAATTTCACATGATGATGATATAGTTTCTCAAAACTACTGCGCAATCCGAACTATTTTCAAGACCCTATTGAAATACACAAGACAGGCATTGCAGACATGCCAATAGACATCAAAAAGATAAATCGACAGTTGGCTCATTACTAATTTGAACGTCTTAAACTAAACGGAGAGAGAAAAAAAAGGCACGCGAGAGAAGATAACGAGCTTATAGGTGTCAGTCAAGACAAAACAAGCACCAGAGAAAAATCACATGATGACCTTCGCCGCTGCAAATATTGACTTACCACCTGATTGCGTAGGATTGAACATCCCAATCTCTTTATCTCGAGTTTCGGATGAAAATTGATCTGGAAAAGAATGATAAAAGCTGTAGGACAAAGCGCCCGGAAACAAATCAGGCCATAGGGGTTCAAAGTTCGACAATCTTTCTATTTCACAATTGTGCATTCCTTACTAGGTGTAAAAACAAGACTTGTCTATTTGCATATGATAATTCAGTACATATGGCCTCGTTCTGCATGAATTTCTGCGGCTTTGATGCAGACAAGCAAGTTAAAATAATCAGATAACTTGTGTAAACAAGAGGATTGCAGAAATGTTGTGATAAAGATGTCTTTCGACAGTTACGAAAAACGAATAAAGATACAGGAATACACTTGAATATAATATCGAGTATTTGTGAATACTGATTTAATGGTTCATGTTTAGTTGCCGTGCAAGCAAACAGATGAAAACAACAAACGAATCGAAAATAACAATTCAATCAACATTCGGCTGAGTGCATGACCCGAAAGGTGATGAACTTTGAAAAAAAAAATTTGTACTCGAAAAACAAAGATATCATCTGCCTTCACCGTGATTATTCCAGAAACAAACTGACAGCTCTTGATGGAAACTAAAAGCCACCGACGGGTGACTCACTCTAAGCGATCTTGAAAAGTACTTGAATATGCATGAACGTCGCCGAGACATGTGATTTTGATATCCGACTTCATTTTTCCGGCAAGCTAGCATAGCTATCGAAACAAACCACAATGACTTTCGGTACAAACACCTAATACTACATTCCTTTCAATATTACTGCAACGAAGCTTAAAATGTATCGCTGGCAGAGCGTAAAATTTAAATTGGCGCTAACCACAATTTGGCATACCAGCAACTTACCTGTTTCGAAGGGATTTCTCTCTCCAAACTCCATGGTAAAGCAAAAAATTATCTGTTCACTTTGCGAAACCGACCATAAACGAATGTCCAAAATTGTTTCTAGCCAACTGAAATCGAAAATAACGCCGAAAGGAGAAGACAACGTGGAATATCGGTCGTCTAGGCCCGCTACAAACCTACTCCCCCGCCTTCTTCCATAGAAATAAGGCTCGCGAGGCCTGCAGGGAGATATCAATCATATTTGGCTCCGCCTATTGGTTTTCGAAACCGTGACATCATCGTCTTTCCAAATTTGGTAGTGTGACCAGATGGCTCTCAGCCACATTGGCGGATTTCATGTCGTCTTACTCAACACAAATTGCCTCTTGAAAATTAACTAAATTTTCTCCCCGCCAATGACAGTTTCCCCTTCCATGTTTTTCTTACTTTGTTTATGCTAGGTGTAAGTTTTATTTTGACTCAAAATTTATCTCAGTCTAGAAAAGACTGCTAAATAAACTGGAGAGCAAATCAAAAATTTTCTATTACCCCAATCCTTTCTGTTGTATTTTGTCTATGAAAAACCTTTAGCGATAAAGAATTGTTTCATGCCACACAATCTGAATAAAACATAAGACTTATGCTCTAAATCTGGCTTACACAAGCAGAAAGACAACACCTGGGAGACGAAAAAGACAAAACCTCGAAACTGAAATATTAGAACTCCATGATTGAGACGAGCTCCCCAGTTATTCTACAATCGGTCACAAAATGAGCCTGGAATTAAAAAACTAGAATGAAGTTTTTTTTCCTTCAGCTGTATGTTGTGATGAAGCTTTTTTCATTCTTGAAGTATTCCCTTTTGTAGCTTCCTGGGGTAAATGTTGGTTTCGAGTTTCTGTCATGCGGCTTTCTGAGACAGTCACGAGTTTACATTTCGCAAGAATGCACATATTTTACTTATTCTCCAGAAGTTTCCAGAATTTTAGTCTTGGTTTGGAACATGTAATAATAGTTACCCAGATTAATTGAATATTTTAAAGGCACTTGAGGTAAGTTTCTCAACATCCGCAAAATTTAACGCCCACACCTTCTGGACGTATACATTAGTTCTACGGATGAGTGTCCGCAAGCCTGTGTCGCGCCGGGGCTTTCCAATTCCCACGATAAAAATCCTTTATTAGTAACGAGTTTCGCCTAAATTTGGCAAAGTAACATTAATTGAACAGGCCAGGTGAAGCAGCTAGCAGACGCCAAAATAATATCAAGACAAATAAAACCCGGAGGGGTAAAAAAAGTGATAGTCGCGTTTCAAGAATTTAATCAAAAAAGATCGAAAGTTAGCATCAGTGGTTGTATCCCAGAATAAATCTTGTAGAACACTTCTTCGCCAGTCTAGCATGGGTCTGAAGTTATGCCCTGCTGTGAGAGCGCAAGAGCGAGGAAACGTGTCAGCAGGGTTCTTACTAATTTAGATAAAGAACAATTCATGGCATTAGACACTGGTGATCAGGTATCGTCTTAGGTTACGGAATTATCTTTCAAACCTGAAAGGACAAACCTTTTCTCCGCTTTATCGTTCGTTCTAATTGAGACGAGGCGCGCGTTTTATCGTAGATTTCGGTATATTGTCGACAACGTTGACAACAGAAGAGAGCTGTTTTGATTGTTCTTATAATTTATTCAACCATTCAACGATCGCAGTGTCTGACACCTATATGCAAATTTTCGCCTTGTTCAGCAACCTGAACCGTCGCCATAACACAAAGGATTACTCGCTTCTTCGGGAAACTTTCGCCATGCGCTTCGGTCAATTTTCACTAGGATTCACTCAAATTATGATTCAAAGAAAAAAATAGCACAAACATAGTGCACCAGCACGGTTAGAAGTTTAATTTAACATGTCAGTGAGCGCCAAAGGGAACAAATATCCATACCTATATCGGTGAAGGCGACTTCGTTGTTCATTGAGGCCAGCGACTCGCTGACGGCCGTCGTCTGTTTCATCTGCGACCAGATTGTGTCAGTTTCCATGGACAGACCTCTTTTAAAAAGTTTCAAACTTGATTTATGGTTCTTGAAAACCGGTTGGAAGGTCTAGCGAGGAAAATTTTGCTTCGGAATAAACTAGTTTGACCGGTTTCTGTTTGGCGCCGTGTGTAAACCCTTGCTTCTTTTTCTATGAATTCAATTTCCCACACCTCTAAGGGGGTGTTTATATAGACTTCGCTTGCCTGTCGCCTCGTGATTGGCTGATATTGACAGATACGTTCTAAATAAGGTTTCGCCACATTGCGCAGCTGTAAACTACATTGAGCATGCGTTTGTTTTCTATTTTCGGTAATTTAGTCTTACCTAACGTTTGAGATATGAAACCGGAAATTTATTCTATTATTACCCGTTTTACGTCCATCAGACAAACCACAAAAACAGGTTTTTGACACGAAAGTGATTGGCAGGTCAAGCTTAGTCAATCTGTTGTTGATAACTGCAATGTTGCCTATTTTGCCTCTAAGGTGATCACAAAAACATGTTTTCTAACCAAGATCAAAATTTCTTAATCAAGTCTCAATAAGACTATTTGGTTTGTACGTTTTGTTTACTCATTTCGGTTCAGGAGCACTGAGACACAAGAAAACTGTTATTTCAAATTTTCAACGATAAATCTGGGAAATCCAAGTTGTGACTTGAAATAGGTTAACAAAACAGAAAAGTTTGAGAGGTCTGTTTCAGAATTTTTCGATTTTATTTTCAATTCACTGTCGACGAAATTACTATTACAGACGCTGCAGTTTTGGTTGTAAATAACTCGGTAATTCTTTATTTCAAAACTCAACGTAGTGTTGTCAAATAAAATATTGCCAAAACTGTAGCTAAATTATTAAAATCTTATGAAACAATTCCTCGCAATAATGCTTTGACGTCCAAAAATGCGTCAGACGACTAAACTTTGATCATTACATTTCAACTCTAATTAATTTTGCTTTTGTTTTGATTAAGGGGGACATCATTTTCTATTGTTTTGATCCAGTGCTAATCCTCTAGTTTTCTGTTGTTTCCTGTAGATTTTATGTGATTTAAAGTAAATATAGAAAACGCGCTTGAACAAGCAAATTCGTAATTCGCGTATGATTGATTCGTTTAATCGCTTTGAGAGTTTTAATTTTCGGTCAGATAAACGTTTGCTATCTCTAAACCGATAAAGCAACAACCGGGAATGTTGTCGCATAGTATTTCGATGATTGATGGTAAATCTATCGGTTGGGGGAATCCTAAGTATCCTTTCTGTGAATTTGGTCATCAGAAAAAACTCATTTGAAGTGATACTGTATTCTTTTTTTTTAAAAAAAAAAGATAACAGTACTTGAGTATTAGACTAATCAGAATTCGCTCAAGCGTTGAGGCAAACAGCGCGCGCGAGTTACAGCGAGTAAACGCGCGCGGAAAAGGCTTCAGTTTCCGCACTGATATCGCGCCTCACCAAAATTGAAAAGAAGAATGAAATTCTGGAACTCACAAGATCCTATTTTTGTACCAACGACGTTTCTATCCAAGTGGAGCATTTGGAAAATTTTCAAAAATATGTGCGGCCAACTGGCAAAGAGAGAGTTGGTTCATTCAAACTCAACAAACCGTGTGAATGCGTAGGTTAAATCTGTTTTGCATACGAAGAAAAACAAACATTGGGAGCGCGCGTGACTCAGCCAAAACAGAGAAAAACAGAAAAAACTTCCGTTACTGCCCTTTTATCAAACTTTTCTTAACGACATAACAATATTTGAATCAGTCTGAAACTGTGGATATGAAATATTAGGGTGCTATGTTAGAAGTTCAGTAAGGCCAACTTTTTTGTCAGTGACATATTCTAAAGCTGCTTACCTTGAGGAAGGAAGGTGTTTAAAAAGTGCTCCACAATTTGAACTGCGTCGTCAACATTTTCATCGGGGTATACTAGTCTGTGATATACTTCAGGCAAGTTTGTTTTGGCAACTAAAAAGCGAAAGATTAACTTACTCGAGTCTTTGCAATTTCACACTAAAACATGAACTCAGCGAGATATTTCGTACCTTCGTCAAGGAAGTTGATTATATCAGATAAATCTGCATCTGTTGCTGTCGGCTGCCATTCCTCTTGGGGAAAAATCGAGTGGGAGCTAATCATGGTCCCTTCCTCTTTGCAGGTAACTTTTCACAGAATAGAAAACTTGATTTGAATTCTTCCTAACCGGTTTTAAAGGTCTAACAGAGAGAACGTCTAGACAAGCTACTGGTTTGTCCGGTTTGGTTTGAGGTCGAAGTTTTATAACCTTCCGTCTCGTCTAGTCATTTCATTGGCTACTGATGACCGCAGTAATTTAACATTGGGATTTCCCCTATTGCGTAGCAAAAAATTGTCGTATGAAATAAAATACCTAACTTGTTTGCCCGATAAGACGTTTCTAATATGTGAGCCGGAACAAAAGTGACAAAGCATATGTGCGTTCATTTAATTGAGGCAAATTTGTGTTTTTCTTTGGTATTATAAAATGGATTTAGTTTCCAGTTTTGCGTGATTTCCCAAGACAAAATCACGATCAGATAATCGTATAATCTTGTAATCATGGACCCTTCCTTAACTTTTTCAGAATACAAAACTTGATTTAAACTCTTCCAAACTGGTTTTACAGGTCTAACAGAAAGAGCGCCCGATTTCGTTTAAAGGTCGAAGTTCATTCAATTTCCGTTTCGTCTTGTTGTATGATTGGCTAAACATGACCAAAGTAATTTAAACTAGGTGTTTTCCCTATTGCGCAGTAAAAAATTGTTGTGTAGAGGAAAATTCTCAGGCTATTTGCTCCACAAAGGCTTTTCAAATATGAGAACCGGTATAAAAATTATCCTCTGCATATATGACGTTTATTCAATTGACGCAAATGCTGTCTTAATTTGTCTTCGGTATTTCGAGAAACATTTGCAGGCCACACTTGATCGCGTCAGCTGCGTTTGGTAATTTGCCGATTTAAACTTAGGATTCTTTTAAAATTGCTTTAAAGTAATGCATAATGTTTGTTGTCTGGCATCTTTCTCTACCAACCAGTTTCGTCAAGGCAAATCTTAGTCACTCTTACTTCCAAAATGCAAATTTTCCCGTAAAGATAGACTTGCCATTATAAGGGAAAAAACAAACTTTCACGCAAATGGGCTCTTTGACTTAAAATTTTTTAAAAGCCAACTCAATTAATTCTCAAAGCTGCATGAGAAATCATTAAATAAGTCCGCGCCGTACGTCATGAAATATCAGCAAATCGTTGCTCCATTAGTAAAGTTTATCTGTCTAAATGCAACACTCGTTCAATTTGGTACCTTGCTAGTAATGAAAGGAACCCTTGTCTATCATCGACTTAATTCTAGGTAGAACAATTTTGACTTTAGCAGTATTACTGATTGCTCCTCCCAAAGGTTGAATGTGCTCAAAAGAGACCGGGTCCAGTCATAAAATACAAAGGTTTTCGAGATTAGAGCTGTTGAATATTGAGGAAATTACCTTTGGAAGAAGCAGTGCTGGCAGGTAACTTGTTGAAGTCCTGCAGGAGTCCCACAACTATAAAAGCTATTGCAGTGTTGCCCAGTCTTAAACAACAGATGTCTTTGCGTGAAATGAATATTGGCTTGAAGAGATCGTTGGCGCGCTCAGTGCTTGTCGGTTGTCGAGAGGCATGCCTAGAACCTTCTCAAGCTTCGTACGAATTGTTTTCATTAATAGCAGAAAATTGGTCGTGATAACTTTCCAAATGTATCCTGAACTTTGTTCGGTGTTTTATTTTGATGCACAGTCAGGACGAGCTTCATGCAGCAAGAGGTCCATTCGATCCCAATTTTACCACTCTAAGTGTGTTGTGCATTGGGGCGTATTGGAAAGTTTCCTTGACAGTAAAACTACTTTCTAGTATCTCCAGACGCAAGATTGAAGCGTTTTTTTTTTTTCCGAGCTAACTTGGTTTCTCATGAAAGGGAATTTGCTCATTACGAAAGACAGAATAAATCTTTAAACACATTCGGCGTTTAGGCACAAATTGAACAAATAACAGAAAAAGTCAAGGTGGACCTTGTGAAACGCTTTGTTCAGACCCGAAGGTTCTAAAAATATAACCCTCATATACCAAGTGTTAGTAAGAAATGCCGCTGATGACATTCCTTGAAAACAAGAGCAACATCGTCCTTCAACTCTAAGCTAATCTGGAGATATGATTTCTCTCAGCAAAGATCACTAAAATGCTTCAGTTCCGGCTTACCCATTTCCACTTGAGACTATTTTACTAGAGAAACATTCCCTCGCTTAACTGCTTCACTTGTGCCGCTTATCATTTGCCCAGTTCATAAAATTATCAGAATTTCAGATTTAGAAAATTTAACACTGAGCAGAATGCAAGTGATGGCCAGAGTAATGGTGTTGCAAAGGACTGTTCTAGCTATAGCACTGAAACTCACTTGAAAATGATTGACTTACGCAGCAAACAAAAAGGAATAGAAAAAGCCTACCTCCAGGAAGCAAATGCATGAAGTGTTCCACAATTCTGATAGCATAATCGATATTTTCTCCATAAATTGGAAAGTAGGTTCCTATGTTTGATAAGCCGTTTATGGGAGTAGTTGGTGGTTCGTTGAGGGTTGAACTGGGTCTAAAAATGGGCATTCCGTTCATCTTGGTTGCTTGGGTCTTGTTTTGAAGCTTGAGCCTTGACTTGTCTTCCAGCTTGGGTCTTGTCTTGAAGCTTGTGCCTTGACTTGATTCCCTGTTTGAGTCCTTTTACGCTTGTGTCTTGTCAGTTCCTTCTTGCCACTTGTACTTTTCCTTATCGCTTACGCTAGCTGCCTTGTCTGAGTTTCGTTGTCTTGATAAAACGTTCAGTCTGAGTAGTTATCTTTTGCAATTGTGTTTTTTTTTTTCTAGATATCGTGGTACAGCCGGGATTGATGCAGCTTTTCAACAAGTACGCGTTTCTTATTTCGTCTCCTTGCTCGCCGCGGTGACGTAGCTTGCAATCTTTATGGCTTAGTGTTACTTATACATCCATGCTCTCCTTGGCCATGATCGACTCGTCCTTTAGCTGGGTTGCAGACCTTCCTGTTTCACTCCAGCTGCTAAGTGCTGAATATACGACTTTCTTTGTAAACTTGGATGTAATTTGGCGATCAACAGCCCGAGATTTGTTTTGC